GTTTCAATTTCAACATTACAAATAGCATAAAGAGTAGAATTATGAGCAATTAAACCTCTTCTAGCTAATTCACTTCTAACTGCCACTTTGTCCTAGATAACTTGCCAATAGAAAACCCCCACTTTGGGAAGAGCAAGATTGGACCACACCATCTTCCAAGTATTATCAAAACTAACATGATAACCAAAAATAGTTCTACAAAAAGACTTAGCAAAATAGTTACCACTAGTACTTCCTTTCCATATAAAGCTATCCGGCATATCCCTATCAAGAGAGAAGTTATAAACAATACCAAATAGTTGGTTCCATTGGTTGCCAACAGAAAACCCCCACTTTGGGAAGAGCAAGATTGGACCACGCCATCTTCCAAGTATTATCAAAACTACCATGATAACAAAAAATAATGCTACAAAAAGACTTAGCAGAATAGTTACCACTAGTACTTCCTTTCCATATAACTTTATCCAGCATATCCCTATCAAGAGAGAAGTTATAAACAATACCAAATAGTTGGTTCCATTGGACTCTTTCCTAATCAAAACAATTTCTTCTCAATTGAATATTCCATTGACATATATCTTCATTCCAATATCCAAAATCAATCAAACATCTAGTTTTACTAGTTGACAAGGCAAAAATGTGAGGGAAAGTATCTTTAAGAATCAAATCGTCAATCCAAGGATCACACCAAAATTTTATATTTTTACCATTGCCCGAACATGAGATCATCAAAGGAGAGAGGACTGACAATGTTTCTCTAGATAGATGACATTTTTCTAATCTTAAAGGGAAAAGGAAACAAGTTGTTCGAATCTAAGCCATTCCACTAAGTAATAATTTTACGCTAAAAACAGTTTTTTTCATCACCAAAACTCCAAATCCACTTGTTGAGTAAAGATCTCTTTCTAATATTGAGATCAACAAGGTCTAGTCCTCCATTTTCCTTGGAAGTGCACATAAAAGCCCAATCAATAAAATGGATTTTCTTTCTCGAAGCAACTCCACCCCATAGAAAATTTCTTTCTATTCAATCCAGCTCTTCCTTAACAATAGAAGGAATTCGAAACAAAAACATAAAATAAACAGGGTGACTAGCAAAAACTAACTTTAGAAGAATTAATCTACCTCCCATAGAAAGAAGTTTGCCTTTCCAACCTACCAAGCGAGTCTCAAATTTCTTAATAATAGGCTTCCACACAGCACAAGATTTAATATTTGCTCCAAAAGGCAACCCCAAATAGGATGAAGGAAAAGAACTAATTTTACAAGAGATATGAGAAGCCTAATCCTCCAACACATGATTGTCAATCCCAATACCATAGAGGTTACTTTTGACAAAGTTAGCCTTTAATCCAGAAATCAATTGAAAACATATAAGAATTCTCTTGATATTAATCAAACTATCAATATTAGCTTCGTAGAAAATCATTATATTGTCAACAAAATGCAGATAAGAAATCGTATGTCCATTCTTTCCAATATTGACACCATGACAGTAGCTAAAAGAAATCGTTTTATTAATTAAAGCACCAAAGAATCAACCACCATATCAAATAAAGAAAGAGATAAGGGTAGCCTTGTCTAAGCCCCTTACTCCTTCTAAATTGCTTGGTAAGAATGCCATTGAATAAAACTAAGATAGACGCCCGATGACATGCAAATGGAGATCCATTTTCTCTATCTAGAACCAAATCCCAACTTGTTCACGATCACAACTAGAAAATTCCAATCAACATTATCAAAAGCTTTTCGAAAGTCAACCTTAAAAATTAAACCCATATTCTCTTGTTTCTCAAGATGATCAATGATTTTGCTAGCCACAAAAACACAATCGAGAATTGATTTGCCCTTAGTGAAGGCAAATTGATTATGGCTAATCATAGATCCCATCACCTGTCTCAACCTGTTCACAAAGACTTTTCCAATCAGCTTATAAAAGACAACCAACAAGACTAATTGGTCTAAAATCACTCAGATTCTCCTAGTTAGTAATTTTTAGAATGAGAAAGATAAAAAAGGAGTTAATCTTGTGATTAAATCTGCCCGAAGCATAAAATTCATCAAAAAGAGCCATAACATCAGATTTAATCTTTATCCATTGGTTTTGAAAGAAACTCATATTAAAATCGTTAAGACTCAGAACGTGATTCCCATCAAACTTTTAAGGGCTTCCCAAACTTCAATTTCTGAAAATGGTTCTTCAAGCTAAGAAGATAAAGAAAGATTGAGATGATTCATGGGGCAATTAAATTTGCAACTCCAGCAACCTCCTAACTTTAAAAGTTCTCCTCAAAATGAAAAGTAATAAGCTCAAGAACCAGCCTAGAATCGAAATTGGTCTTACCGCAGAAAGAGATTCTATCAATGAGATTTTTCCTTCTCTTATTAGATGCTACAATGTGGAACAATTTTGTATTTTGGCCTCTTTTTAAAAACCACTTAATTTTGTGTTTCGTATTTAATTATTTATATTTTATTCCTTATAGTTTTATAGTTTATTTTTTAAGTTTAAATATAAATAAATAAGAATATTGAATGATGAATTTGAACCTAAGAAACATCATCGAGCACAATTTTCTTAAATAACTATTATAAGTCTTTTTTTTGTTTTTTTATTTAGATGTTATATAAATTATTATTTATTATAAATCTTTTTATCGTTGGTTAAATTCAACATATTAGTTTTAAAAATTGTTATCTTTTAATTTTTTTCATCTTTGGCCCCCAACAAAAATTGGCTAGTTCCACCCTTGATTATCATCATCCTTTTCATCACCATTTTCAGTCTCTTGATCTTGGTCTTCATCATCATCTTCTTCTACTCCATCTTTTTCTCCTTCCATGTCACCTTCTTCTTCCTTCTTCATAAATGGATTGATCTCTTCATAATCATCATTAATAAGAATTCTATGTTGTCAAGTTCCTTTAAGGTAGCGGCATTTGTTCAAATAGACATTTTAATTTCTTAGATAAACCCCTTTGTTCAAGTCAAATTTATTGTCTCTATCTCAATCACTATTAGGAAGATGAAGTCTTCTCCTAGCTTTAGCTTTGAAAGACAAAGGAAAAATAACAAACAACATCAAGGCTTGATAGGATTTAGAGGTGTATTGGAAGCAACTAAAATTGCATTTGATTGCAAATAATGGAAAATTTTACTAGCTTTAAGCCTCCTACACTTTGAGTAAGGAACTAAAAAAAGAAAAAAAAAGATATGAAACAATTAAGATTTTTTGATGATTTCGCATTAAATATAATTCGGTGTGTAAAATTATACGTATAAAACAGTTTCCTTTTTATCAAATAACTTTTAATATTACTTCTCCAAAAACACAAAAAAAAAAAAAAAAAACTCGTAGATAAAAGAATAAAGCAAAGTGTAGTTCGAAGAGGATATTAGAGGAGATTCAGAGTTCATTTGTCTTCTCTCCTAAACTGATTTTATTTTTTTTTAAAAAAAGGAAAGTTTTATTGTTATGTACGTAACAGAAAATAAAAAAAAAAGAAAAGAAAAAAGATTTTGAATGGTTTATGTTGTGCAACTATTGTGTGAGTGTGATTTTGGTGGCTATCCGTCAATGCCGAAATTCATGTTAAACCCAGTTGAAGACAACCTTATCACGTTCATTAAATGCACTGCCCTTTCATTTCACCTTCAGAACTACATAAACAAAGATATTTTCCTCTATTTCATTAAAAAAACTGAAGTTTTAACTGTTCAAATGTGTTTATGGAATCCACTCTGTATCCCTAGTCAAAGGTTTTTGATCAGATCGATGGATTCAGAAAAGTGTGAATGACCAAATGCATAGTAGCAACTTCCTTTCTATTTCATCTAAATTTCAATCCAACGTATAAATTGATAAGAATAAACTTCCTCCTGTTTGCATATATATATATATATATATATAATATAGTCACATAATTAAATCAAGTAGTTCGTGGTTGAACGGTAGCTTGTTAGCAATCTCCCTTGTTAATTAAAAAATTAGTTTGAAATCAACAAGACGTTACACCAAGAATCTTCTCTTCTTATGTCCTAATCATAACAATGCGTGTAGACAACTCCCCCTAATAATAAACAGACAGATGTTTATTTATTTATTGCCTAAGAAAATAAAATTTCTTAAAAAAACATACATCACAAATGTAGGACTTTATAACATTAATTATCCGTGCGTGATACGAGAATTAAATATAATATATATACATATCACACTGGACGCACATGATTTGGATCCAGGAGTTGTGACCTCTCCAAACAGTTTGACCATCAGCCCTAGTTACAAGACATGGGACTACAGGCTAGGTTTTCTTTTCTCTTTTTATTTTTGTACATCTACAAGATTAATTGTTCTATCATCCTTTACACCCATTATACATATATACATATTATGTGGGGAAAGAGAAAAAAAAAATAGAGAGAAGTTTTATTTTCAAAAAGAATAAGTTATTTTAAAATAAGAACGACTTTTATTAAAAACAAAAAAAAGTACATTTTGTTATGAATATTTTTATAAATATCTATTTATATTATTTATATCTAGATTTGATGTAAATCAAATTAAATTAGGATATAATCCATCTAATCTTTAAGTGTTATTTTCATCTTATAAAAAAATTATCTTGTAAAGAGATTATTTGCCTATAAATAGACTCCCTTAGTTCATTTGTATACACACTTTAATAAAAAATATAAATTATTTTAAAATAAGAACAATTTTTATTAAAAACAAAAAAAGTGAATCCTGTTATGAATATTTTTGTGAATATCCATTTATATTATCTATGTCTAAATTTGATGTAAATCAGATTAAATTAGGATATAATCCATCTAATCTTTAAATGTTATTTTTATCTTGTAAAGGGTTATTTGCCTATAAATAAGTCCTCTTACCTCATTTGTATGCATACTTTAATAAAATTTCTTCTCTCCCCCTAAATACTTTCTTTCTCTCTAAATACTTTCTCTTATATTTTTCTTATAATTGTTCTTTTAAATTTATTTCATAACACATCCCTAATTTTATATTTTTAATTTTTTTTTTGAATTTTATGTAACTTTACCAATTATATTGAGTTTTATGTAATTTCATTAACTGAGTTGATATCACCAAACTTTTAGAGATTTTGTTAACAGTACAGATATCTAAAAGGCTTCAAGGGGACTCCTTGGTGGTTACATGTACCAAACACCTTTACAAGCTATATTGGTAAGAAGATTTATGAGTGATTAAATTAAGTTGGAGACTATCATATAGGGATTTTGAATTCAAATCATGGGTTGAGGAGTCTACAAGACTGGAAAAAATTGTCTTTTTGATCGTGTAACGTAAGATCATACATATAAAAAAAAATTGTTATTACAGGTCAAGGTCGCACTAAGCATTAATGGAGTGATCATGATTTGCCGTGTTTAATTGTGACAAAAAAGAATAATTAGACGTCTTAATTAATAATAAGAAATCAAAATTCAAAAGATTGATCTTCAGTTTTAAAAATAATATATGATATGATAGTAGTACTTTTAAGCAGCCAAAAGGCCAAAACATTACAATGTTTGATAGCTTCAATGTTTAGTTTTGTTTTTATTTTCGGACGTGTGAAATTGTGAAAGGATGAGTTGAGAGAGCTATGGAGAAAATCACCTGGAATAAAATAATAGAGCATGGTAGTGACAAGTGAGGACCCAAGGAAAAAGCTTCAATTATTCGGGGCGTGTGGACTCAAACGGCATAAGAGAGACTGGGGGAGGAGCAGTTGCGTTAAGTGGTGTTTTCATACGCGTCCTTGTAGACCGCGGCTGATTGACGGCTCTGATCTTTCGACGAAGGTGAAGAAACGTTAAACATGGCATCCCACATGGTATAAATGGTGCCTCGCCCCTGCGGTTTGCTTTCCTTCTCAAAAACATTCTCAACTCTCATTGGGCTCTTTCTCACTTGGTCTCTCTGATTCCCAAATCGCTCCTTGTAAATTCTCTCTTGCCCAGCTGGAGTGAGAAACAATCCTTGCTGCCTTTCCTTTCAACGAGTTTAGTCTTCTCTCTGTCCCCTGTCTTTCTCTCTTAATTTTTCTCTACAAAATCAACATATGCTTGCCATGGAGAATATTGAGAATATCGGTGATGAGTACAAAAATTATTGGGAAACCAAATATTTCCTGGAAAACGAAGAATATAGGTACCTTGTTAACTTTCCAACTAAATTAATTTTGTTTTCTTTCTGCCCATTTTAGCCCTTTGGCTACACACTGTATCTATGAACAACTGTAGACAATTGAATTAATGGAAACGGAATTTGCTTGAATATGAAGCAGCTGGGCAATTGATGAGTTCTCCGGGTACTATGATTCGAGTTCTCCTGATGGGGCAGCCTCGTCTGCAGCCTCTAAGAACATCGTTTCCGAGAGAAACCGGAGGAAGAAGCTTAACGAACGGCTCTTTGCACTCAGAGCAGTTGTCCCAAATATCAGCAAGGTGATGGATAAACAAAAAATTCCACCACCATTTGCTTCGCTTTTGCTTCTACTCTTTAAGATTTTTCTCTCTCCTTTTTTTATCCTTTTAGAGAAAAAGAAATGGGATTCTTTGGGTTGTTAATTACTTTGATCTTATTGGTATGTTTTTCCAGATGGACAAGGCTTCCATAATCAAGGATGCCATCGACTACATACAGGAATTGCATGAGCAGGAGAGTAGAATCCAGGCTGAGATACTGGAACTGGAGTCAGGAAAACTGAAGAAAAATCCGGGGTACGAGTTTGACCAAGAGCTACCGGTGTTGCTGAGATCCAAGAAGACCAAACTGGAGAACATTTTTGATTCCGGGGGATCAAGAACTTCCCCTATTGAAGTTCTTGAAGTACGCCCTCTCTGTTGCTGTCGAATATATATGTATATGTATATTTATATTGATGTGGAGTAATTGTTTGCTTTTGAAAATTTCTTCTGTTTTCGAATTGAAATTAACTTTGTTTATCCTTTCTGCAGCTCAAAGTGACGCACATGGGAGAGAAGACAGTGGTGGTGAGCATAACATGTAGCAAACGGACAGACACGATGGTGAAACTGTGTGAGGTTTTTGAGTCCTTGAAGCTCAAGATCATCACAGCGAATATCACTGCTGTCTCTGGGAGGCTGTTGAAAACCGTGTTCATTGAGGTCAGTCCTTTCAAATTTACTTCTCTGAGGCTCTTTGCTCTCTGTTCTATCCCTGCTTGTCCTGTTTCCAACTATTTTGGCATTGTTCCACTGGTGACAAAATCTTATGATATATTAGTGATTTTGTTAAGTATTCCGACAACCCAAACATTGTACACTGTTAACATTATTCTTTCTATTTTTATCTACTCTTCTCTTCTTCCCTTCCCAAATCTCACCATTCCTAGTATTCTTTCTAATTTTTTGGTAAGGTGCGCCAACATTACTGCTAAAACCTGCTCAGCATAAACAATAAAGTTTTTTTAATCCAAAATTAGAAAATTCGAATCGAGCAAGTTGGATGGATGGGTAATTAATTAAGTGGGTTAAATCCCATGTTTAGGGGAGGGGTGGTTGATTATTTAATCATAGGATACCCAGCATTATTGCGCATTAAGTAGCCTTCAGACAAGATTACTCTTGTTGGATTTCTTTCCTTTTCAGGGTAAAAACAATTTATCCAATCTGTTTTCACTTTAGTTTTTCCCATATTTGCTTTCTAGTAATACATATCCTTCTTTCACAGCCAGTGCTTATAATTACAGAAGTTTGAGAAAATACTCTTTTTTTTATTATTTTAATTTATTTTTTGAAACAGAGAAAGTACTTTTTCCATTTTAAAGTTTCACGACTTTTTTTTTCTTTCTGGTTTTAATTACTTTATTTTGTTTGCTTTTTTTTTTTAATTTTTGATTTTAATGATTTTTTTGAGAGAGGGTTTTTCCTCTACTTTAAATATTATTTATTAATTTATTTAAGAAAATGAATTCAACGACGCTGAAACAACTTAAGAATTCCAAGATCCAAATGGTTATTTATTTCTAAATATTTTTTTATAAAACAATTGTCAGAAATTATTGAAGAACACCTTTTTTAAAAAAATATTTCCAAATCATTAATTAATAAAATAAAAAAAATTTAAAATCATCGTAATAACGTCTTATAATTTTTTTTCCCTCATTATTATATATGCAGACATGAATATATTGGATAAATATTTAATAATTTAAGCAATGGTACAGAATCGGACTTTACAAAAACTACTGCGGATTAAGAGCATTAATTATTGGGTAATAAATTTGTTGAAATCGGAGGCGTACATAGTTAGAAGGGTATCAATATAAAAAACGGCCAAGGACTGTGGGGCCTAAAAGATTGGAAACCGATAGACTCACTTTAATAAAGCGGATGATCTATCATGATGAATGTAATTTAGGGCAATGATGGGGTAAGTGAAATCCAGAGTGTCCGAATAAAACCCACCCTTGACCACTAAAGTAATCAAAAGAAAGGACCCCATTTCACTTCCGCTTTAGACCTCTATTATTATTTTTTTTATAATTTATTATTTTATTATTACAATAGCATCATTCTTCAGCTTTTTTTTTTCTTTTCTTGTGCTTCCTTTTTTAACTTACTCTCAAAATTAAACAAATCTTAAAATATTATATGAAGCGTAATACTTATGATTTGGTATTATATATTTTTTGAATTTAATATTTTTTAATTATCAAAATATTATAAGAGTTGATTATACTTCAAAGTTTTTTGTTTTCCTTTTCAAGTTTACCTTGTTTTATCAGCATTATCCACGTTGTTTGTTTTGTTCTGTTTTTACTTAAAATAGCCACGAAATTTAGACATGTGATCAATTTGTTGACATCAGACAATATATAAATATTGGAGGTCGCTACTGCACCCACTTGGCCTATGTTAACCTTAAATGCATTTTTTTTTTCCTTTTGTGTATAAGACAATTAGGTAAAGTACAAAGGTGGGAAATGATATCACCATCAAATTAATTTTTATAGAACGTACCAAAACAATCCAAATATTCAAATATATATATATATATATATATGTGCTAAAACATTTCTTTGAAAATAATAATTTAATTAAATAGTACTTTTTTTGACTTAAACTAGATCAATATATCACAAAGAACACTAATAAAATAAAATTAAGCAAATTCATAAAATTTAAGTCATGTTTTATTTTTTGGCATTGAGTAATATAGGTTTACCCTTTGGATGAATATTATATATATATGGCATGTAACCATTTGTGCATAAACTCTAAATTATAATTAGGATGAGGTAAAGAATGAATAGAGAGCTTTAGGTTCAAGTCATAATGGTGTCTCTCCTATAAAGAAAAAAATTAGAAGGTAGGGCATAAAGATTTCAATGGGTATCTTGTAATTAGGTACTTTGTATTGTCTTGTTTGATTAAGTAAGATTAAGGTATTTTATAATTAGATTCTAGTAGTAAAGTTACTATCTTTTATGGATTCGAGTAGGATTACAGTACTCATTATCTGAATTCGATTATAAATAATAATTTTTAATATTCAATTTTAGTTTTACATATATATTATTTTTGTTAATAAATTCATTTTAAATATTTTTGGTCAATATAAACTCTTTATAATTAATGTAATACTTACTAAAATTTATTAATTATTTTAAATAAGATTTTTAAATTTTAATTTATTTTTATAAACTAATTTTAATTTATTAATATAAATTTCATTAAAAATATACATAAAAATTATTTTAAATAAATAATGAGTAGTGTTTAGGATATTCGGGTATAAGTTTGATAAATAATTTAAAAAATTAATTACTGATTTATAAAATTTAACTATCCTATCATTAAATAGAGTTTAGATTAAGGTATTTCAAAACTAACAAATATTCTATTTGTTGATATCTCTAATAAGACAAGATAGGTTGATACCCATATGAGAAAACAAAATCATTATCAAGTTTCTTCAAATTAACTATCATGTGAGAGGAGGACCCATGAAATTAATCTAAACATAGCCATGGGCCACTGCACTAAAATGGTGATGTTGCTGAGAGAGCCGAGGCACATAAAGTTGTACAATTTCCCACTTTTTGTGGTGTTCCTATGAGCTGCCAATTGTTATCCAAACTTTGAGGGGTCCCAAACACCCTGTGATTGATTACCACGTCTTCGTCTCCCCTAGTCAGATGCAATCCTTTTGGGCCAACTGACAAAACATCCTTGTTTCTCATATTGTCAAAAGCTTTTCAGTAAAATCCCAGGAAACAAACAAGACTCCGAAAGCCAAGAAACCACATGGAAACCTCATGTGTGAACAATGGGAAAAACAGAGAAAAATTTTGCATTCAAAACGTGTTCTCATTTATCTAATCTGATAAAACAAGCAATGACATGTGGTTTCATACGTCATCCTCACACCTTTCTCTAGTGTGAATTTTTTTACAACGTGGGTAATTTCTTCTTATAAATATCCCACTCTTGTATCGTTTTCATTCAAGAACATAAACAGGTGTGGGGTTGTTCTTTTTAACCCTCTCGATGTGAGTTTTCCTTGGTTAATTTACATTGTTTTATGTAATTGTCACATCACCAAATTTAGGTGGAGCAGTTGACACTTAGAGCGTTGGTTAGTGTTGGGTTTGGGCTTTAATCATTGATCATTTCCCTAGCAAGACATCCAGATTTTCTGGGTTAATTTATTTGTCTTTGATATCTGAAAGAATTAATTATTTAATTGAAATATCATTGAATTTTTTATACTAAAAAATTATTGAATTTGTCAGCAAGTTGCCAGCAAACATATTTTATCAGAATCTTCCGAAAACAATCATAGAGGCTAAGGTTTTGTTTATTATAAAAGCATGCTTTGCCCCACATTTTGGATCTTTTTAATGCTTTATTTATGTTTGAGAAAGATATGATGAATCTTTTAGAATGTTAATTTAAGCAGTCTTCTGTCATCCACGTATATTCGGCTCCACAAGATAAAGAATAGTGCCAAATGTCTACACTCTTCACCTAAAACTTGGGAATTTGCCCTACCCTTTTCTTTTTTTTTTTTTTTTCGCCATATATTCTTATACAGTAGCCATTCCACACCATCTAGTTTCTTTTTTTTTTTTTTTTTGCCATATATTCTTATACAGTAGCCATTCCACACCATCTAGTTTCTTTTTTTTTTTTAAAAAAAATTTCTCAGACAAATTTCATTTTATCAGTTTCATGGTAGTATGATTAGGATATAATGCATTTTAACAGGAGATACAACAAGGACCCTAAAGTTTCCCCTTTTTTGGCATTTTCAACTTCTTCCTTTTTGGCTCCAATCCTGAAATAACCCTTTTCTTGTATTTGAATGGTAATCTCTTTTGTTCTTTCACAATTTGTCACAACACATGTTCCTGTTTAAAGCCAAGCAGACTGCAGTCTGCACACCCCAGGGCCTTAAGAAGCATCTGGTAGGCCAAAAGAGGTCAAAAAAATGGCTGAGCAGCACTCATTAAAACTGGGATTTGGACATAAAAGTCTAAAATTAGCAACTTCCCTTCCTGCTTGTAATATTTCTGTGTCACCAGATGAAGATCAAAGTCAACTGGCAGAAATTGTATTGTTTTATTCTTTCTGTAGATATGCTTTTGCTTACTGGACTTGATCATACAAGGGTTGGAAACCAATGATCCTGGCTGCTAATTCACCTTTTTAATTGCTCTTAAACTTGATATACAGGCTGATGAAAAGGAGAAAGATGAGCTAAAGGCACAGATTGAAACAGCCATTGCAGCTCTTAACGATCCGCAAAGTCCAATGAGCATGTAATGAAGCCACATCCAAGTCTAATATCGTCCTGTCTTCATTCATGGATGGTATTTCCATCGCACCGTGGCCTTCGCTACTTTCCCATCTTCCTTTTCCCGCATCGGAGTCTTTAGTTTTTGGTTTCCTTGGGAAATCGCCACGGTTGAAATGTAAGTCTAGTCCATGGCCTTGTAAAATAACTGTCTGTGTTTAAGAATTCAGCAGAATAATAATAACGTTCGCTTTTGTTAACAAAAAATAAAAATATAAAAATAGAGGTATCCGTTCATGGAGGTGTTTCTTGAAACGTCTTGTGTCGACTTGGTTTCACTACATCTGTAGCAGCTGTCTTATCAAAGTCCACTTAGATTGACCATCATTGTCTTTTTCAGCGATTTGGAACAATTTCCATTTCTTAAACCACAAAAATTTCTTTTGAGCATTCCGTTTCTTTCTATTTTGTTCACAATAAAATTATCATTATCCTATGATATATTATAATATTAATTAATATATTATATCATTTTAATCAAATATCAAAGAAATATTATATGAGACGTAACACATATCATACCTATTATTATTTTTTAATTATTAAAATTTTTTAAACATGATAAATTATTTTTGAATATATTAAAAAAATATCAAATTTTATTTAATTTTTAATTAATAAATTAATATGTACAAAGAATATCTTATTTAAAATATATTATTCAAAAATATGTTAAGAGTTTAAAATAAAAAATAATAATTTTTTAATTTATATCATAAAATCTTCAATTTCATAAGTAAATATAATAATTTAAAATTTTTTATTTTACCAATATACATATTATTTATAATTAATTTTAAATTTTTTTATTATATTCTATGATGCGATAAAACTCGATATCTAATATTAAAAAATAAAATTTCACTACATGATATATATCTCAATTTAACTTCTAAATCACATTTTTAACTAAATTATGGATAGCAACAAATAATTCAACAATACAAAAATGAATGGAATTAAAGACGGGGAGGGTGGGTTCGACGGTGGAGAAGCTGGGTTAGTAGTAGGTGACGTTCGACCAACTTTCAATTAGCAACGTGATTACAAATTTGCAGTAGGTCTAGGTTAAAATGGGTGGAATCAACAGTGACAAGGGTGGGTTCGACGATGAAGGGGCTCAATCGATAATGGGTGACATTTCAACAACTTTCAATTGGTAGCGAGTTTACAAATTTGCGATGGGTCTAGGTTAAAATGGGTGGAATCGACACTAAAAAGGGTGGGTTTGACGATAGGGAGGGTGGGTTCAGCGGTGGAGGGGCTTGGTCGATAGTGGGTGACATTTGGCCAACCTTCAACGGGTGGGAAAAAGGGCAAAGGGAGTGGGTTGGGAGCTTCAAGGCAGAAGGAGAGTGAAGATACAGAAAATAAAAGGGAGAAATCAGGGGAGGGGGAAGGAGCTCACTTCATTTAAATAATACAACTTACCAACAAAATTCTTGATGAAATCGTCGATTATATTACATCCGTTGGTGTTCTTCGTGCCTTTTGCTTATATTATATGCCAAATAATTACCGACCAAATACCAACAAAAATATAATTGTTAGTAAAGTCTATTGGTAGTTCTTTGATGTTTTGTTAGAATACAGCATGTCTGCTATCCATCTCTATTTGTTGACAAAATTTTATTAATGATTCCTTTCCGTCAATAAAAGTCTATTTTCTTGCAATGTTAATGAGTTTTTATAAAGACTTGCTAAATTAACAAATTGCTATTTTAGAAAGAATTTGATTAATTGTGCTTATAGTTATTTGTTAAAATTAATTAAATTTATCATTTTAAAAATTAGTCTTTTTTATTAAATTCACTTTTATCATTAAATTCATCAATAAAAAATGTAGAGTAACTTTTTAACAAAAATATATTATGTGTATTATGTGACCTTAACAATCGTTAAATCCATGGTCAATTAGTATTTTTTGCATATATGAACATTGACGTGACTTTATTGATGTGGTGAAATTGGTTGAGTGGGAGAGCTTCTCCATCTAAAACATTGTCATTCTAATTAGTCAATTTCACTACTTTGAGAAAACCACATCATCTGTCATGAGTGTAGAAGATAGAGGCTAAACGATGAACTTAATGCTCGCTAATTGTTACATGACATATTTTTGTCGATGTAAAGGTTTATTTGAACATAAACGGCAAAATAAGAACTTATTTATAATAAAAAGATGAGATTTCCTTTGAGAAATTTGAGATAATTCAAAAACTTATTTAACATTTAGATATTTTTGGATTTTGTGGATGAGGGTCAATTTACTTGACATGGGCATAAAAATTGGATCCACATCCGACATTCTCCCACTTATATGTAACGAAATGAACTCTTTTATTGTTGAAAGTTGTGAACATCATCTTATCAAAAACAAAATCAGACTCTGTACAACATGTGCCCTTTCTTTGAATTTTCATAATAATGGATCACAACAGCACATGAAAAACTTTTGTTCATCTCAATATGTTGGTTACTGTATGCCCCAAAATCATTTTTGTAACATTAATGCAGGCATACCTATATAAAATCATTTTTATTTTTGTTACTATATGCCTAAGATGTTGGATCACAGAATTAGAAAATAAAAAAATTGCTCTAAGGCGTGTAACAATGCAACTTTTCTTAAGGTTTTATTCGTCCCCACTTATAGTGTATAAAAGAATTATCGATGTATAAATCTCAAAGATATAATAAAGCTTAGTAATTAATTGCGTTTTTGCACTAATGAAATCCATCCACGAAGCATTCACCAGGATATGACAAGATTATCAAATTCTTATAGAGTCTTTCTGCAGCAAAATACTATAAAAGCAATCTAAGAAGAATTTAAAGAAAATGGAGAAAATGATTGAAATTATTTCTCTTTTGTCTTTTTCCATACATCTTCAAGAAGCCAAAAAGTCTTATTTACAAGCATATTTTCCAACAGACACAATTGTCTATTTCCAATAAACACATGCCCACCTTTGTTTTCCATCACGTTGTTCTTGATGGTATTTACATATTGATATCATTGTAGCTCAATGTATAATAGGAATGCCACATGTCTATCTATCACATGGACCTTGATGGTTTGTCTTTTATCACATGGACCTTTTCCAACTCGAGATGCTTTACTTTAAGTTCTTTATCTTTTTTATTTTGTTTGTGACTTCATCTTGGTTGTAGCAATCTTCTTCTATTCGAAGATAATTACCAAAAACCTTGAGAGGCATATGCTATTTATAGGCAAAGTTAGCTTTTTCTGACAGATACAACTCTCTATTTTCAATAAACACAATTATCTATTTTTTGACAAACATAAGTGTTATTTTTTAACATAATTATTTGAATAAACTTAATTATGTGAACAAACATAACTTTTAAACAATCATAATTATTTAAAAGATTTCTTTACTTTCATTCTTCCTTTATTATTGTTGAAAATGTTCCTACACAAGAACATTTATGCTCATAGTTTCAATGCAATCACTTTCATAGACGTGTTCCGCAAATCGAATCAGCACAGCCAAGGTAACATGCTAAGATAGCAAATATTGACTTGGCGTCTCAAGCGCCAGAGGAAAAGTCACAGTCTAGAAGTTGAGGCATGTGTCTTGGCTCAAGGAACTCAGCAAAGGAGGGAAACAGTGATTAATATGCATTCATTTTCCTTTGAGGTGTGTGAATCACAACGTCTGATGGAGCTTCTCCTTTAATAGCACATGCCTTGTTCAGTAGGAAATCATATACATCCTCCACTGCTACACGACGCTAACATGAGTGTCAAACTTGATCTTTTCTGAAGCATCAAATTCAACTCTCACGTCTGGCTACTCTACAACCTCTCATGCTTATGTGGCAAGATTACCTCATCCTGATTCGTTAAGGAACCCTACGGCCACAACCTAATATCTCTACTCAAATTCCGCCGCCTGGGCTACTTTCTAAATACTTAATAGGACCGTATTTCATTCACAGGAAGAAAACGATGGTGTTTCATCTTAGTTAGGTATTTCGCATGCGAAGCCATTGCTTGTGTAAGATCGTACAGGTGTTCATGTAAGAAAAAAACAATACTTGAAAGATTTGTCGTATTGTGTGCAAGATAATATAAACACGGCAATAAAATCAATAAATGTCCCTATTTGACTTGCATGGAGTTTAAGAAAAAATACTTTAAATTTTGTGTTTTTTAATATCTTTTAAAAATATTTATGGCATTGATAAAGTATCATTTTTAGTATAAAAAGAAGAAGGAATTATTAAAAATTAACTTGGAACGTATGAAAAGAAAGAGTTGTAGGTGTTCAGGAAAATGAACATAATTTTGAGTCGTTCAAAAAGAAAAAGATAGACATTTAATTTGGAATGGGTGGAGTAATTAATTACCCTTTTTAGAATAATTAATATGCCCATAACCCTTTTGATTAAATTTTCATATTTTATTTTTTCATCTTCATATTTGGGCCACATTATTGGATTTAAGCATCATAGTCTATTTGGTCATTTGGGCCCATTCAGCCCAAATTGCGGAGCCCTTAAAAATTAATAAACATTACAAATTACAAAAATTGAAAAAAAAAATTTGTAAGATTGCAAAACAAAAACAAAAAATTTACAAATAATATAAAAACTTACAACAAAAAATATTAAAAAAAAGAAAAAAAAATGCGAAATTTGCGAATACAGAAAATCCTAAAATACAAATATACATTCAAAATAAAAAATCCAAAAATACAAAAAATAAAACCGGAGAAGTAGCACATCCTCCTCCTCCCATTGGCCTCCTCTTCCAACTCACTTCTGTCGTTGTTGCCATCCAAAAACAAACTTTCCAGGTGGAACAGTACCAATCGTAACACTTTTCCCTCTCCTTGTTGGTTGTCGCGTCGCACCTTTCACCACCACCAGCTCAGCCCTTCCACCACAACTTGTGCAACTTAATCTGCACCGTCAATTACCCAATCTCTTAGCTTAAAAGCGCCAAACAACACTAGTCGAAAGAGAGAAGCAGAAATTTGGAAATTCCAGCAAAAACGGCAAACTTACAGCAAAAAGCAATACAAAAAAATCCCAAAAATTCCCACCTCTCGACAAACCATAAACCACCGCTCACATTGGCCGCACAAAGTTAGCACCTGCAGCTAAAACCACCCCCTCCGAAAGCCTAATTCTAATTTTATTCTTTTATTACATTTAATTAAAATTTTAAACTATTCAAATAAAACCCTAAATTATTAACAAAAAATTTAAATAAGTCATTATTCTTTTATTACATTTAATCAAGTTTTCATATTTTTATTTTGAATCAAATAAGTCTTTATAATTAATGATTGACTAATTATCATTAATAAAAAATTATTTATCATTTTATATCTATATGTTATTACCATTACATTGATGTGAAAAGTAAAAAATATTACATGATTATGTTATAATGTCAAATTAGTATATCATATCATCATTAATTATGATATGTCAACATGTTATATCATATCATCATTAATTATGATATGTCAACATGTTATATCATAATCAATTATAATATTTAACATATCACATCAATGTCACTCGATATAAAATAATAAATGACATTTTGACTGAATCAATCATTAGTTATAAGGGTTTATTTGATTCAAAATAAAATTATAAGGGTTTATTTGGTTCAAAATAAAATTATAATGGCTTATTTGAATTTTCTTGTTTAGTTTAGGGACTTTTTTGTATATTATGCTAAAAAATTATCATAATCCAAAAAAAAAACACTCTAAACTTTTTTTTTAAAAAAAACTTTTATACAACCAACAAAAATCCATAAAAAAAAAGTCAACATTTGAATTTAGTCCTTTTACTATGCTAAAATGTTGAATTTAATCAATTTACCATAATTTATATAAATTAGGTCCTTATATTTTAAAAAAATTTTAATATTAACATTAAAATTTACGATAATTCAATGATGTGGCACTCAAATAAAACTGTTTAAGTTTTCTATGTTCTTTTAAATATGATATGCATCAATTTATCAAGCCACGTGGCCTTGATCAAGACTTAATCCATTCAAAAATGGATTCAATTTTTGACAAATTTGAAAACTGGTTAACTTGATCAAGGATCAATCCATTCAAAAATGGATTTGATTTTGAAAATATGAAAACTCCTTGATTTGATTAAGGCTTGATTCATTTAAAATTGGATTCATTTTTTGAAAAATATAAAAACTATTTGACTTGATCGAGGCTCGATCCATTCAAAAATGGATTCGATTTTAAAAATCTTGAAAATTACTTAACTTGATCAAGGCTTGATCCATTCAGAAAAGGGATTCTAATTTGATGATGATGTGTGCCTTAATTAGGAACTAATTTATTTATCTAAGATTATGATTGAACTTAATACGTAGTCTGATTTATTTATCTCTCTTTTAGTTATGTTTGATGGATTTAAGTTGTTTATTTTGACCTGTTCTTAATGCTTTTAATTCCTTGATCACCAATTAGATTGAATTAGAGACCTAGGTTAACCCTTGATCTAGAAGATTTAGGTACACCTTGAATAGAATAACGTACACTCGAATACACTTAGTTGATTAGGTGGTTTACTTTACATATAGGGTAGACATACACCTATAAGCCATATGTAGCCAAAATTAGTGCACAAACTTAATGAAACTTTTTTTAATTTAATTTGCATAGACATATAGTAAATTAAATGAGAGAGAGAATTTTATGTAAAGCTCGATAGAGACTTGTAAATAATTTAAGACTCGAGGTTAGCAGCTTAATCCATTAAGCTAAGTTCAGAGAGAGAGAGAGAGAGAGAGAGAATTCAGATGAAGTATTGAGTGACATCATAATCTTAGGCCTAAAAGTCAATCAAATTTAAAAAATAATTTTACTGAGTAAATTTAGATTCGTTTTTGTTTTTAAGTTTGATTTATTTTGCTTTTTAATTCAAATTTGAGTGTCTGGATAAAATTAAGGTGTGTAATTTTAGTAATTAATAGTAAAAATTAATTCAATTCTCTATGGGATTCTACTCCTTATTATATTATCTTTGCAATACGTATACTTACGTGGGTAGAAAATTGAACAACACAATTTCATCGACAAATCCAACATTATTTTCTAGTTAGTCGATACCTCAACGACGACGACAACCAAAAGCATATTCAACTTGTAGACAACTTGAGTACAAGCGCAATTGCTGTCCAATGTGAATGACAAACTTTGAGAACATATGGGGTCTCATAGAAGAAGATAATGGCTTCTAAGAATGAAATGTATCACATATACCTTGATTTGTACGCTAATTAACTAGTTGAGCCAGAATACTCTTGTTATGATATTTTGGTCATTGTTTATGAACCTAATGTTTATCCTAGTAAGTATAGGCCATTGCCATTAACAGATTAAACATGTAACATCATTGTTAGTTACTTTTCAATACATACTTGTTAATTAGTTTTCTTATGTCTTAGTAATGCTTAATATAATCAACGAACATATTTGTTGATAAGTTTTTTTATGTCTTGCCATTGATAAAAGTATATGGTAATTAAATCCCAAACTATAGAAGAAAATGAGAAACAAAAAAAAAGAAAGCATGCTGCTATATATTTCCATTATTTTCAAGAAAAATATTAGTCTTTTGTTTCTTGGGGAAGCTAGCTTCTGATAGAAACTGATTAATTTTAGAATAGAGGATGAGAATGTTAATGGGAGGAATACCATTATAAGCTTTTGTCAATTTGCTTCACTTAATATGGGAAGAAATTGCCAATTTCTTAGTTTCTTTTTTATGGTTTTGCCAATAATATTGATGATTCAAGTCGACAAACATTTAATTTGGGTGTTGAAAAGCCTTAAGTTGCAAGTAAATCATGTTCAATATAATGCAATGTCGGATGTGGGGTTATGCAATGCCTAATAACCAGTCACATAATATTTAAAAACAAGTCACGCAATGCCTAAAAACTAGTCACGTAATGCAATATCGGATGTGGGGTCACACAATGGCTAATAATGCCTTAAAACTAATCATGTAGTACCTAAGTCGTGCAATACATAACAACCAGTTATGCAATGCTTAAAAAATTATTACACAATGCCTTATCTACTAGTCACGTAGTGCACATATGTTATACTCATGTTTAGTTCTAGATTGTAAATTGTGTAATCTATCTACAAAAGATATGATTTCCACAATTATAAAGCTATACATAATTCAAAAGTTTATAACTCAATGGTTTAGAGCAATAATAAAAAAAGTTACTTTGCAAACTTAAGTTTGAATAAAAAATAAATAAACAAAGTTACTTTGCATTTCACAATCAATCTATCTCAATACTATTAACAAAAATTTCTAATGTATATCTTTTCCTCAACCCTTCAATTGCGTCCTTCCTCAGGATCGTGTTGCATGTATCGATCAGCCACTCCATTGCAATGATTACCTAGTCCCTGTAACTACCCTGGTCCTTTTGCTACAGGGTTGAATGATTTAATTGGTAGCTTATCCGTATCCAAGGTCATGTTCTACGAGGTGTTCTGTAGAAGTACCCGAACTGGTGGCATAAAATGGAAATCAACGTAATTAGAGGAAGCATCTGATCTTTGCACAATGAGGACTTAATTGCATCCAAACAACCATATGAGGAGTCCACCAATGTTATAACCCAATCGACCAAGTTGATATGCAGTACAACCCGGTGGCTGTTAAAATGGCACAACACCAAGATCGAGTAAACCCCATGTGATGGCTTCCCCCACGAAAGACTGTCACCCCTCACATGAGCAAGCAGAAGTTCAAGAATACCCACTTTTTTCAACTTGAACTATGGATAAGAAGGTTAGGGATCCATTCATGGCACAATGCATGTAGAATGTTCTGTCAATTAAATTACACTCAATAGTTAGATGCCATGAACTAAACCCCTAAACAGATATTTTAATAATTAAAACTCATTATAATATACTTACATAGAAAAGCATGTCAACAATGCATAAGTTCTACTTGTACAATAGGGAATGGTGCTCACGACTATACTTACACATGACACTGATGCATACGTCTATGTGTTAGCTACTCATCCACTCATCATGTTTCTCCAATAACCTGAAAAATTCAAGGCCTTCTTGCCCTTTGATGCCCATCATGTTAACCCTGCACATGTAATATATTGGCGTTAAAAGGTAGCTAGATTAAATTATTGCGAATCTTAATGCCTAATATCGTGTAATGTTTCCATTGTACCTAGCCTGCTTGTTATTCTTGTAGTACTTGTATTTGTCCTTCAACATGTCCTTCTCTTCACTTTGGACTAATAAGGCATTAATGTAAAGGCTCCTCAGGTTTTTGTTGGCCATGCTTAGTTGTACATCTTTAACTAAAGGTGGACATGGAGCCTCAGGAGAAGGTGTGCTCTAAGCACGATGTGGATCCTTAAGCGAAGGTGTGCTATGAGCAAGATGTGGGCCTCAAGAGGATCTGCGTACAGGCTAAGAGGAGGTGAGCTCTGAGCATGATTTAGGGCCATAAGAGGAAGTGTGTTCTTAGCCAAAGGGACATATAAGCCTGGCTAGGACTACTTGACACTCGTATGTGAATCCAAACTCGTTGGCTCATCACCACCAGTGTGCAAATGCGAACCAATTAGCTCATTACGACTAGTCCTCCAATTTATACCAGTTGGCTCATTACTATTAACCCCGTGGGCATCGCCATTATCGTTGCGCACACCATTCTATTGATTGATAGACTCACCTTACATAGTGACAAAAATCAAATACATTAAAACATCAAATACATCTTAAATGCTATATGTTGAAAATGAAAAAAGCTAAAAGCTCATACCTCAAAATGGTCGAGAAATCGATGTATAATTCGGTCTTCTAACTCCTAGATCTCCCACTAGATCTTTAGTTGCATTAACGACATCTCCCACTAGATCTCCTCTAAATCTTTAGCTTCATTAACTGTAAGTCTTTTTTCGACTATGTCCCCAGCCATTTCAGCCCATGCTTTAATGCGTTGACTATCTGAGGACACTGCGTCATGTGCATTTGATCATCATGTAGGGATTGAGCAACAAAAGCCTTAAGAGTAGTAGAAGGGGCATTGCACCACGCTCGTCCAATAATGCGCCTCTATTAATGGCTCTTGTAACTCTCTTCACCTTGTGGGTGATGATCTTCTACTGTTGTTCGAGACCAAATGCTACTCAACCCTCTACTGCCATAATGGAACTTACTGATGCCCCTAAGATAGATGGACATCAATGTCGACCTAATATGCCTCTAAGTTCTCCTTTGTGATTAGCTTCAAGGCTCATAATGCGTGCAATTGCACCAAAACAAACATTGCCATTAAGTTGAAAGATAGTTGACATATGACAGCAAAAAAAAAAACCATTTTGCTCCTCACATTATCTTCACTCTCTAAATCTGTTATGATCTTGTGAAAACCTATGGGCCTCTCATCTCAATGCTATCTAAGATTCGTGGATAAACGTCTTCAGATTGTCAGAGGGATCCAAAGTAGCTTTGGATAGTAGGAATGGCATCCAACACCCAGAATTGCAAGTCAATTATAAACATTATAATCACCAAATAAAATCTTATGTGAAGAGCAAAATGGAAAACCTTATAGCACCGAACCTATAGCGTCGATACAAATTTGTACAAGTGGTAGCATTTCTTCTAAGATGTCTACGCTGGTGAAACTTGGAAACTCTTTGATATGTAGTCCACGTTCAGATTCCACACATAGGTACGTCATGGGAATGCTTTCCACTGGTTGATGTTCTCAACTAGGGAAAACATCCATGAAGTCACCGATCTTCTATAATCTTGATCAAATAAAATATTATTTGCAATCAACAGTAAGGCCATCCTTATTGTGTCTCTGTCCTAATCAAACTAACCTCTCTCGATCGTATCTAACATATCTTAGAGCTTCACCTCCTAAGGACTTGAGATAACATCTAACATGGGGTCGAACTTCAATTTTGTGACTAGACAAAACTCATTATTAGAGAAACATATCTAGGAATTGCCTATGCCAAACCATAACTCACTATCGATGGCGCCGGGTTCTTTGATTCTGTGTAGCAATAGGTTGTGTGCTAGATTGGTGCAAAATAAGCTTTTTTTTATTTTATGTCCATTAGCTTCCCGGAGAACGTTTTCTCCACTACCTCCAACTCATTTTTTTTGTAACGCCTCACATATGAAATGTAATTACCAGCATTGAAGCCCCACTTGTCCCTCGAAACACAAAGCAAAGCTTCCAAGTTCTCCTACTCTGTTTTGGTCATCTGTAACTGAAGCGAATAACATATCCATTTAGCAAATATGATCAAGAAAGACGGAAAAACAAGAACTAGTTTTTACTATCTTTGCATACATAAAAGAAAATAAATGAATCACATGTGAATCATGACTTATTAAGTAACAAAATAGATACATAATACGAGCATTAAATTTGAGAAAAAAAAACAAAAAAGCATTAATATCCAAGCAATGCCTAGAGAACAATCATGCAATGCCACAAAAACTAGTTACGCAATGCCCTATCAAGCAATCAAGCAATGCCTAAAAACCGGTTATGCAATGTCCTACAAACCAATCACACAATGCCCTATCAACCAGTCACACAATGCCTATCAACCAGTCACGTAATACCTAAAAACTCATCATGCAATACATATCAACCAGTTAACAATGACTAAAAACCAATCACGCAATGCCTAAGTCATGTAATACCTAAAATTAGTCATGCAATGCTCTTTCAACCAGTCACGCAATGCCCTATCAACCAATCACACATTAACTAAAAATAGTTGCATAATGCCTAAAAACCAATCACGCAATGCATTAAAAACTAGTCACACAATACCCTAAAAATCAGTCATACAACACAAAAAAATTGATCACGCAATGCCTAGATACAAATCAGGGAATGTCCTAAAAATCAGTTACGTAATTCCTAAAAATTAGTCATGTAATCCCTCATTAGCCAATTACGCAATTCCTAAAAATCGGTCATGTAATACCTTGTTAACTAGTCACACAATGCCTAAACCCCTAAACCCAATGCCTATAACTAGTCACGCATTCCCTATCAACCAATCACGCATGCCTTATCAGTGTTCAACCCAAAAACCACTAAAACAACAAAATTCCATTTAACAAAATCAACAACTTCAAACAACACACCATATTCCATTTAACAACATAATCAATGAATATGCTTACTTGGCAAGGAATGTTGAAAATGCTCAAAGGTTTGTCTTTGCATATCAAAAATCACTCTAAAATGCTGAAAACGCTCAAGGTTTTTCTTCCTAGCAAAGAATGCTTCAAAGATAAATGGTAGAAAGTTGAGAAATTATAATGGTAAAAAACTTAACCTAAACACAGTTTGAGGCGTGGACCAAACATATGGGTCAATTTCATTGAGGGCAATTTTATCCAAAATGAATTTCTCTTGGCTTAAAATAGTTAAAATTATAGAGAAGGTTATTTTCAAAAACATCTTGTATATGAGGAGTATTTTTTAAAAAAACCCTGCAATATAATAAAACCATTTAAAATTCAAACTCAAAACAAAAAAATATTTTATTACTTTCTTCCATTCTTTTTTAATGATTTTAATGATCATTTTGTTTACCATCAAAACTTAGAAGTAAATTAAACCAAATGAAATGATATTTAATCACTGATCACACGTGAAAATACACTATAAGAGAAAGAAAAATAAAAGAAAGAAGAAAGGTGACCTGACGATAGCGTTAGTCTAGGGTTGATGAACTGATCCTTAGTGGCATAATCCTCACCATAGACAACCTTAACGCTGCCACTATCAATAGACATGGGATCAATGTCAAACACTAATGTCCCACCTCTCATCTCCTTCATTGTGCTCTCCTAAAGTGATAATCTTCTTTTTTCTTCTTCAACCCTTAGTGACTTTCTTTTTTCCTCTAAGGCTCTTAGCCCTATTTTTCTCTTTCCTTTCATCTTTCTTGCTCTTTTTTAGAATCATTTGATTCTTTTTACAAAAAATCTTTGATCTTCTTTGGTAAGCTAAAGCTAGGTGTTTGAAAAAGTTTCTCAAGCCTAGTCTTTGTTCTTGTAAAATCACTTGAACACCATCGTATATGAGAGGTAAAGGAGACTAAGAAAAATAAACATGGAAAGAGTGAGAAAGAAAGTAGAAAAAAAGTAGGCATGGGCGGAAGGAGCAAGGTGAGGAAAAAAGAAAGAAAGAAAAACTCAAAACTCAAAATTGTCTCTTAGAAAGTCACAAATGACAAACTCATGTGTTGTGCTATAAGGAGGGCATGTGCATCACATTCATTATGATTAAATTATTCCTTAATTGTTAAAGACTAAAATGTAAGTGGTTAAAGCAAATCAACATGATATTAGTTAATTTACAATATTATGATTGTTGATTTCTTCTTGTTGTAAATTTTAATTAATGTTGTGTAAATTAATTGATAAATTAGATTTGTTGGGTTGTTCTTCAAGTTAAGTCATTTTTGTTCTTCATTAACATCAAAACTAGCGTAATGATAAAATGTTAAAATTAGAACAATACCATACCACTTAATTTTAAATATCATCATCATTTATTATGACAAGGAAAAATAGCTAATGTTATACTATTACATATTGTTTAGTAAAATTAATTAATACCAACTAACAAGAAATCCAATTTCGCTTAAGTTGTTAACTAAAAAGAGCACATCAAAAAGGAAACATGTTTACTGAGGTATTTCTCTAGAAAAATTCACTACTAGCAATTCCAGATGATCGATCCCACAAGCAAGTTTGATTGCGTGAGAATTCCAGTTCTACTTTATTAAGGGATTCAATAGTTATGGATAATAACCCTTCATTCAAATATGCCTTGATGCATTTGGATGGTGATGCTCAATCTTCAAGTGAGAACATGGATTTTAAAGATAGGTACGAGATGAGAAGGGTAATTTTAATGAAAGTGATTCGAAAGGCTTTAAGAAAGAACAAAACAAGCTAGATGATTTTTTATTTGATATGATTGATGGTATTTTGTCGATCAAAATATTGGATTTAAAACTAGAATTAAACTAGCTAAACAATAGTAGAAATCTATGATTGTAAAACTTATAGAGCGTACCATTATGTACAAAACTTTGTGTGAAAAACTCACAATTTTATGGGCATTGAAAGGAAATTGCAGTGTGGTAGATCTAGATGATAAGAATTTTTTGGTGAACTTTGCAAGCAAAGAAGATTATCTTAATGCACTTCTTAAAGGCCCTTTAGTAACATAGGGTAATCATTTAATAGTGAATCCTTCGACTTTATCTTTCTCCTAAGGGACTCAAGATGTAAAGGTTATGGTCACGTGGGTTCGTTTCCCTAGCATGCCTCTACATTTGTACCAAAAATCAATTTTGAGACAAATTACATCTCTTCTTAGGTGTTTACTTAAGATTGATTACAATATATGCAAAGAGAAACGTGGGAAAATTGCTCGTATAACAGTTGAACTTGATCTTTCTAACCACTTTTGCTTAAGTTCTTCCTCAATGGACAACCACAACCAATTGGATATGAGGGGCTTACTCATGTTTACTGCACGTGTGGAATTTATGGTCATACAAAAGAAGTTTACACTAGTAAATATCCAACCTCTATTGAAGCTAAAGAAGAGAAATAACAAACAATAGTGCATCATTGGAGGAATCACCATTTGGGCCATGGATCCTAGTTACTTGCAGAAAATTTCGTGAAGGGGAAATCAAATAGGGCATTAATTGGAATTCAAATTTTGGAAGGTAGTCTCACTAGGGATCTTGGTATATGGTTTTACTTGATAAAAATGGGGTTAAAATTGAAACTACGAGAAAAGTTGACTTTGTTGGAAAATCTTCTTTCCATAGAGCGAGTTATCAAGACCAATCATAAAGACATTAGAAAGGATAATAATCCTAATCAGCATGGGAAATCTCACCACTCTTGAATGTCTCACATCAAGCAAGGGTCTTTTGTTGACAAAGATAAACAAGGTGGAAAAGCCTCCAAAGGCTCCAAAGGTGGAATTATAAACAAACCCAAAGATGGTTCTTGGTTGACTTTGGAGCCTACAGCTAAAGGAAAAAGAGTTAACTTGGACATGGGGTAAAATAAGGAATTAGATCTTCAACTTAAAAGTAAGGTTTTTGAAGAGGTAAGTCTTGCCATTATTGAAAAGTTGAGTGAACCCTCTCCCCAATTGTCAAACAATAATAAAATGCCAACTGTATCTAAACCCATGAAACTCATGAAAGGTGAAGATGTTTTGTCATAAACAAGACTCTTCAGAACATTCTACAATTAAGATGGCTGACCTTCCAAACTTGAAATCCACTACTTCCACGCTTTCATTACATAGTAGACGTCACATCTTACAATTGAGAGAATGAGAGGTGTTGTTATTCATGGAAAAGAAAAAATAACCTTCAGATAAGAAAAAGGTAGTTCGAATTGGCTATGCCGTGCTTAAAAAAAAAGGCTAAATCGAAGTCCTTAGTGCCTAGAGATTATAGAGTTTTTTTGTTTGCTTTATTAGTTGAAGATGGGTTGAAACTAGGGATTATTTCTTCAAGAACAAAGGCAAAGTTGGCTGTTGTCTTTAGGTGCAATCCTAGTTCTGGGATAGATATAGTGGTTAATAGTATAGGGAATTCCTAGTAAGTTCCTCTTATTCTCTTTTTGTCATTTATTTTTTATGGTTTAAGATTTTTTTTTGGAATTGTCCAGGTGCTGGAGGTAGGAATTTTGTTAGGACAGTAAAAGATTTTATTCATTGATATTGACTCATGGTGTTAGTTTTAGTTGAACCTCGTATTAGGGGGTTTTTTGCAAATAAAGTTATTAGGAATCTTAGGTTTAATAGATTTCAAAAAGTAAAGGCTTTTGTATTTTTTTTTGTGGTATTTAGGTTCTGTGGAAAGAAAGGATTCGCATCTCAATTATCTGTAATTGTCATAATGTGTGAGTCTAGGAACCTGACTGTTTAACATGAAATGGAGTCGCCATTAATCTCTATTGTCAAGGTGCAATTGGCCACCTATTTGAGTCTATTTTTTTTAAATGTTACCTTAAACTTAACCTAAGTTCATTTAAACAAAGAAGTTTCGATCTACAAAACAACTTTAAGGTTCGAGAGTATGGTTACGAGAAAGGAAAGTGTTAGCAACCCCATGATGCCCGTCTAAAGAATGATACCAATTAATCATGTGTTATTCTATTTTAGCCTTAATTATTGATTTTTATTTTATTTTCATTAAATCTTCATTTTGTTGGCACGTGAATGAAACCTTTGTATTGGAAAACACCTTTAGGCTTTCCCATCATTCTGGTGGAATTTAAGAATTCATCCTTACCTAGAGAATTTCTTAAGAAAGCTTATATTTATAAGATTCCTGAGAGAATCCCATCATTGGAGATTATCATTCATGTCCTATTTTAGCATTTTTATTTTTACGCACAAGATGCAATCATGGAATGGATGATGCAAATTCTAATTTTATTAAACAATAAATGAAACTCTCTATTAAAAACATTACCTGAGTCTTCCC